TTCCGTGAAAACAAAAGGTTGACGAATAATTTCATCTAGTATAGCATTTCCATGATAATCCACTAAAGATACTCGAAGAATAACTTGATGTGTTTGTCCGGAGGTATCATTTGCAATAAGCTTTATGGAATTGATTGCCACGTAGTTACTAATAAAATTATCTATTAACATTGAACTTTTAATATAAACATGTAAAATAAATACATAAAAATAAATTAAAACAATTACTCATTAGATGTGTTTCGTAATATATTAGGATGTGCAGTGGGATATACGCATGGAGCCACCCAGTCTTTGGGATCATCTTTTATCAGCATTTCATCCCAATGATCTCGGTGTAATATAAACAGTTCCATAGTTGCTTTCGCATCTTCAACCTAATAATGTACTTATTAATATAAAGCATGTATTTAACATATAACTTTATTAAAAATAGTAAATTATTTTTACTGGGTCATGGAGTCTGAAGTCGGTCTGAATAGTTTTATTTAAGTATTTATCCGCTAGTTCTTTTAATGAATATGGATTAAGTAGATTGCCGACTCTATTAAACTTTCTGCAAAGTCGAACATCACGCAACTTGTTTAAAGGGGGTTTTATATCTAAGTACTTAATAATTATAATAAAGAAAACATTAATTGAAATTTGCAAGACATATGTAATAATAAAACTTACAGAATATCTACATTTAAATCTTGCACTAAATTAAAACCAACAAGTATCTTGTCCTTTATTATATTCATCACCGTCGTCCTTACATCCGTAAAATTACGCGCTGAATATTATATATTTAGAATATGCAATCATATAAATAATTCATAACAATTTTTAGGTGGAAATTACCTCGCTCTTCATTTATTGCATTTAATACCTCATTCTTACGGGGTCCATTTTGCAAAAGACTCATATTTGCATTTGGAACGTTTGGAATTATATATTGATTTAATAATATTGTTCCATTATAGTCCACTAATGCTACTTGACAAGCAGCTTGTCGATTTATTAGCCCTCCGGAATGATCTTTATACTCAACGAATTCAACATCTATTGATATAAAGTCACTGATAAAATGATTTATTAAATTAATAATGTAAAAAAAATAAAATTAATAAATAAATTAAACAGACGCACTTACTTTGGAATTTGTTCGTTGGCTAATAGATAATAATTTTTTAATTTTATTATATGCTTCAATTAACCTTGTTTACTATAATTCTTTTGATAAAATCAACTTACTGCTGCTACTAGAAGCGGAACAATCTTGTTTAGGAGGTTGTTTAGGAAGTTGTGTAGGAAGTTGTGTAGGATGTTGATGTTGTTTAGGATGTTGTTTAGGAAGTTGATGTTGTTTAGGATCTTGTTTAGGAAGTTGTTTAGGAAGTTGATGTTGTTTAGGATGTTGTTTAGGATGTTGTTTAGGATGTTGTTTAGGATGTTGTTTAGGATGTTGTTTAGGATGT